GTGAAGGCCAGAAAAAATAAAAGAAGTGAGCCAGGTCTCAGGTGTACTGGGCATGCACAAACATAGCGGAGCTCCGCTGGGCGTGCTTTGAAACTAAAGCTAGTTTTAGAAAAAGATCAGCTCTAGTTTGAAACGCTCTGGAGAGCCGAAAAAGTTGTTAGAGGGGGGAGACGGGTAGCGGGAACGGTTTTGTGTAATCGATCGCGGATGTCGCAGACCATTTGCCTCGTTATAACAGTTCTACGCTCTTCATACAGCTCTCTCGATATATGATTATTTCTTTTGGCATGATTCTACGATTAGTCGTTTCGTTCCTGTATTTCTTACCTGCTGCTGCATTCTGCGACATACACCACACCCGGTTAGAGGTCATAGAAGAAATATCATGGAACGCCAGGGTGAGCAGGATTGAATTCAAAAATACAACTTCACTCAAAAAAGTGACACCAAGAAAAAGGCAAAGGTTACTAATGGGTCAATAAGACGTAGGAGGAGCGGAGCAGATCTGACCTCTTTGCATAAATTCATAACTCACCATTGCCTGTAGCCAGATTTTGAGGGGTGGAGCACACATCATACTGTTTGATGCGTTCTTGGTTGTGACGCACACCATAGTGTACAGGGTCCAACTGGTGATTCAAATGGGGTGATTTATAGGTATCTCACTTCGCAGATAGTGAAATTCTTTTTAGTGATCTGCCTCGGTCGGCCGAGTAGATGAACTAAGCTTAGTGGACGAGTGAATGAGAAGGGCGGAATATCGGTGCTGTAGGTGTGAAGATTGACCTGAAACTAGTGAATCGGTTTTCATATCACTGAGTAGCTCTTCGAAAATCAGGTAGGTTTAGAGAAGTTAACTTATCGTAAAAAAAAGTGTTCCAGCACCCTATAAGACTTTGCCACGATATCGGGAGCCTATATAAAGGCCGAGCTTCTAGGCTAATGATTATTTTTCACAACTGGTTAGTGCTCGCAAAGAGTTACTCGCATTTTCCTGAATAGAGGGATTCTCGCTTGAAAAAACAAGACGTAGCATGTCTTTTGTAAGAAACATGCTGCGTATAATAGTTTGGACGATAAAATAACCTCTTCCTCGAATTCAGGCATACGATTTGCAAACTGTGCTGTTTCTGATGCACAAACATGTCATTCACTGAGAATCAGAATCAACTCATATTTTCTATTCATCAGTTTTAATAGCCCCTATCATTTTAAATTAGCGGACGTGGTGCAGTTCAATCGGAATCGTCGCTTCGCGGCGAGAGCGACGTCGCCCGGAATGTAGCCGATTGAAACAAAAGTGCAGCGAGCGAGTAAAACAAGAGCAAAAGAAGTGACACCAGATTCACGAAGAAACCGCTGATCGCTTATCGATCGAGCTGTGTGAGAAACACTAGAACTGCAATAACGAGGCAACTGGTCCTCGACTGCCTCGTGCGGCGAATGTGTCTGTTAAACGTGATTGAAATGTCGATTCTTCCTGGATTGGCGCATGGCTGTTGTGCCGACGGCTAAGCCCTGCCCTTCGCGATGTTGGGCATCGAAGTTTCAGGAGCGGCGTCGTCATCGCCGCAAGGGTCCGATGGGGCACTTACGCGGCGCTTCTCTCGTCCCTTCCCACACGGAATGTTGCATTGGCCCCTTGCATTGGCCCTAGCTTCCCCTAAGTTGGCCCTACAACCAACTATCGCTCTACTTGAGCGACGTCCTACGACACGGACCGACCTTCGCACAACCCAATTACCTCAAACCGGATATAACACTTCACGGCGTGTGTACCGACATGAGGATCTATGATATTAGGCTTTCAACACAATATTCATAATAGTCCTTTATGTATACGCCAGTCATGATCGGAAATAAGGGATAATAAAAATGTGTCATATATACATATTTTAAAAGAAAGCGTTCAAATACATCAGTAAGATAGACGGCGAAAGACCGGCGAAGGTAGACGGGAGGTCTTGGCTGCAGCGGAGCCCATCCCGTCCTTATCTACTGCGACAACGCAGCTAGAAGAACAACCATGTTAGGTGATTGTTGTCCCCCTACAGGACATTCTTGAGACTGTCTCCTTGGGACTACGACGGCATGTTACACTGAATTCGTACGACTTGATGATGATAACAGATGAACGGCTCCAGACAGCTACGGCTTTTACGGTCTACTGTGCCTGTAGAGCGGCGTTCCTCGCAAAAGAAAAGTCTACGTAACTGTATCGCCTATTGCCACGCGTATTTCGATATTGGTATAACGATAGCCAAAGCACAGCAATTCATTCACCTCAAACTTGGGTAATTAAACCATTTACAAATACACGAGCAAAATAACAATTTATGGCAGATCTACTAACAAGTGAAAAAAGGGATGAGGAAGCCATCTGTCTTGAGCGCCGTTTAGATCCTCTTTTCCCGCCAAATCCTGCAGTAGTCGATTGTGGAGTAGGCCATCCAAGACACCTTTGGATTTGAAATGAAATAGCAAACAAAAGCAAATCCAGTACGAACAGAAGAGGATGTTTACCTTCAAGGTGAGTTCAGTAGTCTGGAAACAAGATCAGAAAAGCAGAGAGAGCTGATGGGGGCAAACTTGAATGCATCCTTTCAACACCATTCAGTAGTAGATCGTGGAGTGGGCCATCCACGACAGTGACGGCAAGTGCACATATGCGCGGAAATATCCATAGCAAGAGCTCTGGTTACGTCTCGACGAACAGTAGCAAACATGATAGTATTCTTTGTCCCGTGAGACGTGGGAACAAGACGCAACCCACGTGCAACTACGGTGATGGTACTCGCCCTTGTCTCTACAGCAATGGATGGTATAATAATGCCAGCCGTGATGGGCGTGATGCGTGTGCACTGCGAGCGACTTGACTCCCTATTCTGAACCTCTTGCTCTTTCGCTCTTAGATCGCATCTTCCTTTGATGACACTGCGTTGATGATTTACATAGCTAAGACGGGTGGGTCTCAAAAACGTTCAATTACCTGAAACGCGGACGATATGGGCGACATTTAAGCGGAGAATGAAATTAAGCTTATCCTTTAGAAAGAAGTTAGGAGCCTACGGTAAGGCCTAATAGTGTGATGAAAATAGGTAAAGAGAGACTATATCAGGGATAACCTGAAGCAATCTGAGCCGTCTCTAAGAATGAGCTGCAGGTTATAGCGACTGACACTAGAGATGACCACAAGTTTGCCTACTCTTACAATATTAGCGATGGCCTACGAAATTAATTACCACGTCAAGTAGCAACATTAAAATTAACGAAAAGCTAACAACTTAAGTGTTAAAAATGACAAGAATGGTTGCAGCTACGAAACAACAAAGAATAGGCGAGCTCGCCAGGACTCATTACAACAAGCCAAAATGCGCAAAGCAAAGGAGGCTTATCGCTACGCGATTTTAAATGCTGCGAGTGAAGAACAGATGACTACAAAGTTATACGACAATACAAAAAAGAACAAAAACTAAGAAGAANAACGCCGCGCGTGAAAGAAAGATAATCAGCAATCATACGGTCAAAACTGCACACAATACCATGACTAATTGTAAAAAAGAGGGTACGTGATCAAGGTGGCCGCGCGCTGGATCCTCCACTGTGTCCCTGTGTGTATATTATAAAAAGATAGTCGTGATATGATGTGTGGTCGATCCATGCGAAAAAATGGCGAAAAACTTTCTTGCATGGGCCGTTGGGCGATATAGGAAAAGGATCAATATTCAAACTGTAATCGCTTTGGTCATGTTGACTTCACTGGCACTGATACTAGACACTTTGACAATGACTAGATATAACACTCCACAGCGTGTGAACCTTACACGACATTACGCTTTCAACACAATATTAAAATAGTCCTTCATGTCTACGCCAGTAATGAGCAAAAAGAAGGAATAATAAGAATTTATACGTCATATATAAATTGAAAGGAAGCATTCAAGTGCCTCAATAATTAGGTGTTGCGACGATGACCAATAAACCTAAGCGACAGGAGGCTCGAACCCAGGGAGCTTACGACGAGTGTGCGACTCGGGAGCGTTTGGCGCCTTCGGGCTTCCATGCCCGAGTCGATCACTACGTAGTTGGTCGTATTGCATCACATCTCCGTCCATGGGCGCGGGTAATGTAGATTCGACGACGGCCCGCAGACATAGGCACTGATAGTTAAGACAGAACACGCATCTACTTTAGCAGACGCGTAGACGCCAATACGCTGTGCGCGCCGGGACCCCCGCGCGCCCTACTAGGCGTGGGCCTTTAAAAAGTCGGGCGGAAGCCGCGAAAATGTGCATATTCATCTCTTACGGAAAATGGTAATAAGTAGATCGATGTAACCAGTGGAACACAACGGTCTACTCTCTGCTAACAGTAAGTTTTGAAACATGTCAGCTACTCCACGAATACTTCCAGTGGAAGCGAATCCGACCTGGTGATAACTATAGTAGGGGTCGCTGCAATTATATGATCTGAAGAACTATGTTGAAGCGAAACCTTCACAATGGAACTTTTTCTACTTCCAGCTCACCTTCTTAATGAGCTCGACAAGCTGAGTCGAATATGTTCTATTTGAAAGGCCGAAACTGAACCAGTTGTAAAGAAGAAACGAAACATACGCTCATCGGCATTCTTATGATTTTTTAAGCGGTTAGTGTGTATAATGAGTATAACCTACGGTCACCTAGAGAATGAATCAGAAGATCATCTTGTTATGAGAATATAGCTTGAATTAATTCTTTATTAGAACCGATATGGATCACCGTACAACACACTAGTAGCAACGAATCAAATACACTTAATAACTGAGGGGATATTAAAGAAAATGCATGTACAGATACACACTCACACATGACTTAATCAATTAACTATTTACACTGCTTTATGGATTTTGAAAATGACGTCAACTACAAACGAAGGATGGAGCGCGATCTGCAGTCATATATGAGGACAGGGACATGGATGCCGCGCTGTGCCTCACTAACTAGGGAAGATTACGTTCATTACGATGACAGTACTCCGCATCCATGAATCCATCTCATGACTCGTGCGTTTCGCTCCAGAACGCTCACATCACGACCACGGTCTTCTGAAAATCGACGGATAAGTATTGGATGGGTTACGAGAAACGTCTTAATTATAAGTAACTTGTTAGGGCTCAAAAGTATTCCCATCTGGGCGCTGACAACGTTTCTTATATAATTACCACCAGAACGTCTACATGAATTATACGGAGAGTTGGGAGGGCTGACATATGACATAAGGAGTTTTATTTATTTCTACCCAACTCAAAGAACTAATTAGCCTAGCAGGTTGAATTCATTATTCGTTTTGCCGGAAATAACCCCCCCCCCCCCCCCCCC